TAATGTACAGTATTTTACTATTGCTATTATTATTAATTCATCATCATTATTATTATTATTTTTATCATTCAGTTTATCCGATTTGTTTACTTATTCAATATTATCAACCATTGGTACTCCATTATAATACCATAACTTATTGTCAGCATCATTATATTACAATGATTAATGTTTTATTGATATAAGTTATTATTTTTGGTTCCCATAATAAGAGAGGAAACTGTAATCGGTACGCGTGTGTGAGTGAGTCGCTAAGTGTGCACAGATTACCTCAGTGATGAAAGTGTCAAGAGGAGACTGATGGCCAGGGTCTCTCTCTCTCTCTCTCTCTCTCTCTCTCTCTCTCTCTCTCTCTCTCTACATGTGTGTGTGTGTGTTAAGTATGTGTTATGACGAAAAAATGACATCATCCGCTGCAATAAACGAAAGAAAACTTACATTTGAGAAAATATATGCAGGTGTTCAAGAATCGGTAATCTGTTGCGTTAATTAAACTTTACCTGTAAGAAGAATGTTCCTCACGAAGTAAAAACATCCAACAGTGAGGTCAGGAGGGACTGGCATTGGGTTCAGTACACGTAGACTAAACCTGGGTCATTGATTCAGGCGTGACCTTTGACCTAGAACAAAACAACATACAAAGAAGTGCGGTGGACAAGTGGATACAGTGCTCGTCTCGTGGCTTAAGGGTCACTGGTTCGATTCAGTGGTATTCTCATGTCACTCAGCTGTGAAATGGTACATTATTTTACAGTTGGGGAAGTGAAGGCGGTCGAGTACAGTGTTTCCTACTGAAGGCTAGTGTACTCTGATCTGCAAAGTTTAACAAGAATCTATTCACCCGTTTATAAACAGACAGACAGACGCAATATAACGAATCATCATAACATAAACTCCTGTCAGAGGAAACATTGAGAAGATAAACACGTTCTTTCAAACTACGACTCGTGTGTACACAAGAGTGGCTGTTGTGTGTCATCAGAACACAACACAGACACGTCTTCTTTATCTGTATTAATTTATTCTATATTCGTTGTTGTGTGAGTCTCTCTCTCTGGTCTTTTTCCTCCTGTTCATCTCCTCTCATTACTCTTAATTATCTCATATCCTTATTAACTCCACCTCTTCCTCTTATTCTTCGTCTTGCTGTTCGTCTCTTGTCATCCTTTCCATCTCCTGGTATGTCCGGATCTTGTTCACAAAGAAGCTCAGAATGACGACTCAAACACCAACTTCCTGTAATGATAAAGATTTTGACATTATATTAACAGCGTGGGAAAGACGTGTACTGTGTAGGAAGGAAAACTATGTCGAGTTTGTTTGTGTCGTCAGCTCTGTACACGGAAAATAACTTCATGTGTCGTCATCTTAAAACATTCAGGGAATCTAGTATGTGTGTGTGTGTCATAAGGTCACAACACCGTGGGAAGGGAGGGGGAGAGGAGGAGAGGATGGGGGAAGGAAGGGTGGGGGTGAAGGAAGAAGGCAGGGAGAAAGAGGAAGGGAGAAGGAAGGGGAAGAGAGAGGGAGGAAAGAGGAATAGAGGAAGAAGGTAGGGAGGGAGAGGAAGGGAGAAAGGAGGGAAAGAGGGAGGAAGAAAGGGAGGAAAGAAGGAAGGAAAAGAAGGAAGGAGGGGGAGAAGGAAGAGGGGGAAGTCCTTTTTACTTCACTTGTATATCAACTTTACTGTTTTCACGTATACTAACTGTAGAACGAGACAGCAAATACAACAGGAAGCAGCAACAACACTCTTTCACCTTTGTCTGGTCAAGAGTCAAGACAAGCGTGAGTAAGACTCTCCTAGAAACGTTCACATTCCGTAAAGTCATTATAATCGTAATTGTTCGCACTTCCTCGTAAACCGGATTTTGTCTGAGTTACTGTTTCTCGTGTCTCTTCTTTTTGGTTTTAGTCTCTCTCTCCTCTCTTTTGTTTGTCACTTTGTTAATAATACACTCCACTGGCATCTTCCAAGACCTTTTAAGCCATTGTGCTTAGAGGTTTAAGCCATCGTCCTCAAGGGGTTAAACCATCGTCCTCAGAGAGCTAACGACACAACCCCTTGACTCAACCAACACCTCAAGTGGTCTTCCTCCTCCTCCTCCTCCTCCTCCTCCACTCTTCCCTTCTTCTCCTGTCCTCCCATAACTCTTCCTCACCCTCCCTCTCATTCGTCATACATTCTACAACTCCCATACACCACTTAACATTCCCCCCCTATTCGTGAGTCATTCTAGGGACATTCACACCCAGCAGTTATTTCTCATGGCCTTACTGCTGGGTATGTCATTCTTAAGCTACGTCCTCTGTTGTCAATCTGAGGCCACAACACTTCCTTATTATTGTACCAAGTTCATCATACAGGATGTGCCTGACTCGTCACTCATATACACTTGAGAGAGTTAACTTGGAAACCCGGAAATTTTTATCATGAGAAATGTTGGTCTCTCCTCCAGGATGCGGTTAATTGTAAAGTAAAATGGACTTGAGTTTCTGTTGGAGGAGAATGAGGTTATTTAGTGTAGCCAGAATACAGTTTTATGTAGCTACAGTACTTCTGGTGTTTTATAGTACTGACACCTTGATAGTTAGCTGCAGGAGTTGTGTGTCTACAGTATATATATATATAGCCCTTTTATAAGCTATTGTGCATACTTTATATATACACACACACTTATACTGTACACACATACACAAACACACAAAAAAAAATCAGCTGAAATTAAAATGTCTAAACCACACAAAAACTTCAACATTCTTATACTAAACATCATCGTTAAATATCGTAAAATGAACGATGTTTCCTGCCACCAACGGGACGTGACCCTGAGATAGCGTCTAGGTTATATTTAAATACAAAATCACCACAAACATTATTTATCCCGTGTTGTGTCATGTTTACATAAAGAAAACCTACACAACATGATGTTTACGAAATCCCCTGATGTTTTTTTTGTGTGTTTATAGAATCCCTTCAAGATGTTAGACACCTAAAATAGTGATGTGTTTTTGATCATTTTCATCACTAAATGGAGGAGTCGTGTTGGGAACTTTATATACCTGGCAACTTTGAACACCTTTGATTAAAGAATAAAATTGATTACGCTAACTAACAAATACAATAAATAAGACTCCAGCTTAATAGATAAACTTTCTATATATCATTATGTCTCTGTATTCATATTTATTCTAAAAGTATTAATTTACAGCGAAAGTTTGACCAAGTTTCTCGGAATATACAATAATAAAAAAATATTATATAATGAAGTTTGTCTTTAATATGTCATCATTCTGTCGTATATTCTAACTTCATTAAAGGAAAGGCTTTATGACGCAATGCATTATATCGTGTCCCTCTCCTAAATCTCTCTTCTACTCCTCCTTTTCCTCTTTTGTCTTCGAAAGAAAATAAAATAGAGAAAATAATAAGAAGAAAATCCCGCTAGACTGTGCTTATGTCGATAGTTAACCTCCGGGAGACTATGTTCAGAGGACAACAAACCAACCTTACACTGTGGCTGGAGTTGAGGTGTGCTGTAAGACTAGTGAAAACAAGGCCAATTGACTCTAGGGTGATGCAGAACTCGAGCTCCTCCTCCTCCCCCTCCTGTAGGACCCCCTCAGGAGGTAACAGGGTCATCAATCTCCATAATAGCCACCACCGTCTCGAGGCTGATCAAAAGCCCTGCCAAAGTCAAAGTTAAAGTCGTTTATTATTATTGCGCTTCAGCCTTCAAAGGTACAGTGGGGACGCTTTGTTCTAGAGACATACATGATTATCAGACCGTGGCAACTCCTGATTATTCGCCAGTTGCCATCTCGGCGACTGACAACAAACACGGACCATAATAACACTGGGTACGAGGCTGAGGGAATGATTAAGGTGTGGCTGGCATAACACGTCATGGCAGTTTTAAAAGAGGCAAATGGAATGTTGTGTTGTGTGTGTAATGTGTGTGTGTGTGTGTGTGTGTGGTATAAGACTTTGGGTAGTTGTAGATGTTGTGGTGGTTCTGACGGTGGTAGCGGGTGACGGTGTACTAACTCTCCCCCTCTCCCCTCCACAGGTCAAGGTGTGGTTCCAAAACAAGCGGTCCAAGTGCAAGAAGATGCAGAAGGCGGTGCAGGCGGGAGGAGGCCGAGGCATCCAGGGCGCACCTCTAGAGTCTCCCTCGTCTCTCACTTCAGCCCCACTGTCGGCGACGTCCCCCTACCAGACCTGCACGACTCCTACTCCAAACAGCCCCTCAAGCAAGCCTTACAGCGAGCCAGCCCTCTTCCAGCCCCCACAGCAGTCCTACAACAAGCCGTCAGCCCTCACCCCCCTCGTCTCTGTAACACACTCGGGCCCAGACAGCGAGAACCACCAGATGGTCGCGCAAAACTACAACCAACACCCACACATCAAGTCGGAGTTGATGAACTCAGCTTCCCAGTCCCCCAGCACGGCCTCGCCTCACACCCACCATTCTTCCTTACAGCTCCAGTCTGAGGGAGGCTCCCCTCTCTCCTGTATGTCGCACCTCCATTATTCCCCTCACTCAGAGTCTCCTCAACCCCATTTCCAGTCGGCGTTCCCTCATTCTCATCCTTCTCACTCACATCCACACTACCCGCCCCACGCAGCATCTCCTCACTCCCATCCACCGCCATTACATCCACTCCAGCTGCCCCCGCACGCCCACGGGCATCCCCAACACCCGCCCACACCCACTAGCCAGTCGCACGACAACCATGGTTCGCCCCACCTGTGTCCCCCTGGCCCGCCCGGGGCGCCGTGTCCACCTCAGCACCAGCATCACATGAACCACCAGCCCCATGGGGGATACATGCCCCCCACCTCCATAGCACCGCCCGTATCCTCGGCTGACCACATGTCGCTGCCGCCCTCTGCCTCGTCGCCCGGGCTGGCCGCCCACCACTGGGACATGAAGCCGCCCGCGCCGGCGCCCTACATGTACTCGTGGTACTCCCCTGACCAACAACATCTCCTTACCTAA